TATATATATATATATTGGCTCAAAATAACTTTTCAAAAGAACTAATAGGGGCCATTTTTTTTTCTAGCTTTCATGCTTTCTAGATTGAAGAAGAGAAGGGAAAATGAAACTAATTATCTAACATCTAAACTATGATATTTACATTGGCTCAAAATACTTTTTCAGTAATGTTTTTTTCCGAAGAACCAACAGTGGTTGTATTTTTCTCTATCTCTACTCTAAGTGAATTTTTTTTCCAGATTGTGGAAGAGGATGTGAAATGAAATTACACTTATAACATCTAAACTCTCATATTTACATTAGCTCAAAATAAATTTTCAAGCATATTTTTTCAAAAGAATCAACAGTGCTCCTATTTCTCTCCATCTCTACTACAAATAAAATGTTTTTTTAGATTGAAGAAGATCAAGTGAAATGAAATTACTTATCTAACACCTAAACCAGAAAGCCTCATCGATATCACCTCAGAGGAAAAAAAAAATCAACAAACCACAAACACTTATCTAACGTCTCTTTGTGCTTCAAATAGGTTAAAACGAAATCAACAACCCACAACCATAAGAGAAAACAAGGAAGCCACAACAACATCACCTCAAGCATCAAACAACATACCACCAAAAAGCAGGCAAAATGCCCTCCCAAACCAGCTCAAGCAACATAGCATCTCAAGCAACATATCATCAAAAAATAGAAAGCATGAAACCACCACCATAGAGGACTATCGTGAAAGAAAGGAGAAAAAACAGTACATACAACGATACACGGCAAGAGATGACAACAGCAAAAACGAACGGAGGGGAGAAGATGCTAAAGACCGAAATTTTGACCTAAAGCTGCAATAAAACCAAATGGAGGGAGAAGGGTTGAATAAGACTACTTTCAGGGAGGTGGCATTGTAATTTCACACTCGGACTAAAGTCATAACCGCAGAACGGAGCACCACCCCCCGTTCCCGCTTTCTCCATTCAACCAACGCCCGACACATAAAAGCACGCGAGCCACCTCCAAAAGAGCACAGAGTGCTTATTCAAACCAAAAAGCAGGCAAAAACACCCTCCTAAAAGCACCCTAAATTGCCCCTTAGGCTAGGTCGGCATAGCATACATCCACTGAATTAAATTAAAATTTAGAACAATTGAGAAATATTTAAAAATAATAGCCATACAATTAGGTTGGTGAAATTGCATATATTCGAGTGTTGGGTTATACAAATGTAATTTATATTCAAGTAGAATATGAAATAAATAATAATTTTAAGATGGATGTGAGATGAGAATATAAAAGATAAATTAAAGAATGATTATATTAAATAAAATGTTATATTGAAAATACAGTTACATAGGTGGTCTAGAATGTAGAGTAGGGGATAGAAAATGTGCCCATTAGGTGATTCAATAAAATTAGTTCAAAAGATTAGAAAGGAAAACTAATAGATTCAAAATGATTTATGGAAAAAAGATTTAACATCGTAGTCATAACTGAGAAAGAAGGAATGAAAAATTAGGAATTATAATGCCAACCTAAAATTGTTATGATATGACTAATGATGATGGTATATCCTCTTAGCATAAAAGCAATCATCAGTTCAAAATACAAGAAAGTATATTAAATCCCAGAACAAGAAGTCATTAACAATATAAAAAATAATAAAGAACTCAGAACATCCTTATTTGAGAGTTCTTTCTTGAAATATGGAGGGCCAACAAGTGGAGTGTATGCCCACTGAAAGCTTCAAATTAAAAATATAAAGTCACCAATGAAAGAGAAATAATCTAGAAAGTGCTTATCCATGGCTTAATGACTCCTGAAGATACTATTTTTCGGGTTCAACCGAGAGCAAGGTCCCCCTTTCAAAGCCAAAAATAACTGATTTTAAACAAGATTATGTTAAACTAAAATTAGATTGTGATAATTACTCAATAAGCATAACTAGGATAACTTAATGTATCTAACATTACAAATTTTAAATTGTTAAAAGTTGCATGCATGTCAAAACAAATAATTCAAAGAACAAAATATATCAAAAGTAAATAGTAGCTAAGGAGGATAGTTGCAAAGAGAATTATATGAATAGCCTACGAAAAATGTACTGATGCAACAAAAATTTGCATGGGATAAGTTATAAAGATGGTCTGAAAGTTAATAATGACGGATTTTTTATTGATATTCTCTAATTTCTGATAATATTACTTTGAAGTGTTCCAAAAATTTAACCTAAAAATAAATATTAAAAATAAAATAAAATGTTCAAATATGTACAAAAAATGTAAAATTTTGGAAATAAAGAACTAATTTTATCGACAAGGTATTAAAGCATGAGAAATTCAAAGGAAAATGTATCCAATTAAGCTAGCTAATCACAGCAAGGTGCTACTTCTAGAGGATTCTTCTTAGTTTATTGCTTCACCAAGAAATGCACTAAATATTTGCAACATTTATGGTTTCAGAAAAGTGTCCAAATGGCCACTTGACTTTTTGAAGAGGGCCATTTCAATCCATAAATTTTAAGAATGCCAAGTTAGTCCCATGTCTTGTTAAAATGACCTGAAATAGTCCCTAGAATTTTTCAAGGGATGACTATTTTAACCCCCTAAAAAAAGCTTGAAGGCTAATTTTGTCAATCAGGAAGAACGAAAATTAGGCAGCTAAATTAGGAGTTTTCTATAATTAGAAGCTTCCTTATTTCCAACATTTTTATTCTGATTCATTTCCCTTTTAGCTGAATATTTAGATTAAGAATATGCATTATTAAGTTACCTAAAATAGATTATATGCACTTTATTTTGTACCTAAAATAAATTGTAAGATTGTTATTTAATGGAATGATAGCAAAGGGAAAAGGCGATCGACCCTATTCAGTATTTAACCTATTTTTTCTTAAAACTTTGACATAGTATCAGAGCCAAATTTTTGCACTAACCACCGATAATTGTTGGAGTACCGTCAAGACTCCCTTCCCGCCGGCCTTCTTGCAGGACGGGAAGAGAAGAACTATTTTGTTGTCTTGATTCTCATTTGTTCGTCTACTCGTCGTCTCATGATTTCTTCAAATCTCCTTCGCTAGCCATTGTTGCTTCTTCCACTTCGGCTTCGTCGGCTTCTTCGTGTTAATGAGATGACCGGAAGGGTAAGGAACATCGATGATGTTACCATCAAGATCCGTCATCTTGGCGGTATTCTTCGTGTAATTTTGTCCGCCAAATTCTACGATACGGTTCTCCCAGTGGACACGCTCGCGAAGAATTTTGTTGATCTCGTCATTGAGATCACGGAGGCGGTGCTCATCGAGGCCCTCGTTCTGGATCTCAGCCACCTTGACACCAATCTCTCGAGAATTTCATTGTGTCATCGGTCGGCATTGGCGAGATCGCGGCACTCCGAGGTGAGGTATGGACGACGCTCCTTGGACTTGCGCTTCTCCTCGTTCTTCATCGCAATGAAGCGATTGAGCATCGACTCTGTTTTCTCCTCATTGCGAGCCATTTGGGCTTGCGCTTCTCTCTTCTTCCTCGCCTCCTATCACTTCGTTCCATTCTGCTTCATACTCCTGCGTTGGCTTCGGCTGCTTTGTCCCGGTCTGCTTTGTCACAATTGCTTCGGCACTCTTGGGCTTTGCCACTCTCAGGCTTCGGTCTCTCGGGTTTCGACACTCTCAGGCTTCGGCCTCTTGGGCTTCGGTACTCTCAAGCTTCGGCCTTTTGTGCTTCAACATTTTCAGGCTTCGGCATTTTTGGGCTTCAGCACTTTTGGGTTTCAGCATTTTTAGGCTTCAACACTCTTGAGCTTCAACCTTCTTAGGCTTCAGCACTCTCAGGCTTCGGCCTTTCGGGCTTTGGCATTTTCGGGCTTCTGCATTTCCGGGCTTCGGCACTTTTGAGCTTTAACATTTTTAGGCTTCGACACTCTCGGGCTTCAGTATTTTTAGGCTTCGGCACTCACGGCTTGAGGATTTTTTGTCCCGGCAGTGTTATCAGTTTCTTATTAGCAAATTTGAGGGAGAATGTCAATCAGGGAGAACAAAAAATAGGCAGCTAAATTAGGAATTTTTTATAATTAAAAGCTTCCTTATTTCCAACATCTTTATTCTGATTCATTTCCCTTTTAGCTGAATATTTAGATTAGGAATATGTATTATTAAGTTACCTAAAATAGATTATATGCACTTTATTTTGTACCTAAAATGGATTGTAAGACTATTATTGGAATGAAAGCAAAGGGAAAAGGCGATCGAGCCTCTTCAATATTCAGCCTATTTTTTTTCTCAAAACTTTGACAAATTTGACTCTTTTATAGGCTCGGGGATTAAAATAAACTTGTGTAAATAGTCAGGGGTCCATTTTTGCAATTTACTCCTTATAATTCAAAAGGGTTTGGATGTTATAGAAGAGACAGTATTGTTGCCTGAGAAAATATTGTAAAAGTAAAATAGCGCCAACTAAAGGAAGTTGTCAAACGCACGCATGTAAATTTCTTAAAATTTAAAATAAAAGATAATAAATTCAAGATACACAGCAGGGCAACATAACAAATTGAAGTAGAACAAAAAATTTGTTGTAATATGCACTACTTCAAAGTGTAGCAAATCAACATGTTTTACAAGTCGAAGTTCTTCAAATTTCAATTGAAAGCATTGTCATGGCTTATAAAAACAACCAATGATAAGAATTAAACAAAATTAGTTATCAGGGATAACTAATTTCACTGATAAGAAGGATATTGAAAAGGGAGATCAGTTTTTTGATAGACATGATAAAATAATGCAACAGAACTACAGCAAGAATTCATCCAGGGATTGAAATATAGCCATAACAGAATGTAAAATAGGAGAAATAAAGATTTTCCATTTTGGATAAGCCTGATAGATTTACACATCAATTACAAGGTTTACTCTACATCCCTAAGAATTGTGATGAGCAAAATAAAACTGTTTTCCATTGTTTAAAGAAAATATATAGGAGAATTATGAATCATGATATCCTTTCAAAATGAAACTGACGTACCCATTGACCAAATGAAATATAAGCATTTCCTGATTCATTACATTTATTAGGGTCTCCAAATGGGTTGGACTCATCTCGACATAGAGCTGCAATCAAGACCAGTGGTATATTCCCAATGTTCCCTACAAGAGGGGTTAATCAATTCAAACCTTAGCAACTAAAGGACGACGATTTAATGAAGATAAAGTCAAAAAGCAAGAGAAATGCTTAAACAACAATAGTTATTATAAACAAAAGTAGATTTGTTGCGGCTAAACAGCATACATACAGATGAGAGAACGTACACAAAAAAAAATGCGTATACCGTCCATGGTATTTATGGCACAAAAGTAGCAGCTATATATGCTAAAGCCTAAATACCCGTTCAGCCACATATTACTTTAATAGAAAAATATTTAGAGAAAATTTTAAATAAATTATCACAAAGTGATCTTCATAAAATAACATAGGTGTTTGTGGATTAAAATATAATATTTACTAATTTAAGAGTTTAGTAAACAGAATGTAAAATCAAACATTTTTATGAATTAAAGCATTTAAAAAAAGATCATGAAGTGTGAAAAAAAAATTTGAGGGGATTCATAATAATAAAAATCATCATTAGCCTTATCTCAGCTATTTGAGGATGATTTATAATTTTTTATTTTTTATTAGTTCTTGTTGCATGTTGTACATGAAATTAGACATATTCTTATCAAATCATTTTGCACAGCTTTGTTGACCTCAATTTTCGTGAGGTCTAGTATTTCTCGTAGGAGTTAGGATCTAGCCTTAGGGGTCTTCCTGCGACTATCTTAGAACCTTAGAAGTGGTGCCCACCTCGTTTTTAGTTCGATCTATTTCCGTCCTCTTTTGGAGTTTCGCGTGTGTGGTATCGACTTCTAACACTTAGAAGGATGAAACCGACATGAGGAAACCCAAAATGGATTCCTATAGGACCTTCCCGAGCCTTAGGGTGGCCTTCTGCACAATTCGCACTCCTGCGCGCACCAGCTTCGCAATTCGGAGAGTCGACGTGTCCGATC